CATGCTTAGTACATCTTAATCATTCAATAGTGCTAATACCAGCCAGTGAGAATATTCATTTGGTGATTTTATATGTGGTGGTGGGGAGGATACATATACACTATAAGGGTCATCCTCAGACATCTCTAGACCCTCCCCACCTGAAGACCACATCAGTAGTCCCCTTGACTGGCCTGGTTTTTCATCTTTAGTCCCTAAGCTGGCTTCTGGTCCCTCAGATCTCTGTTCTGTTACCTGTTCTGTGAGACCTTTTCAGACTACCAGATCTCAAATACCCATCCAGTCAGTTTCAACCATATTCTACTTTAATTTTCTCCTTGTCATTTGTCACTTGATTTAATTTTTTTGTTGCTAAGCTCCCTGCACTGTAATGTAAGACTCTTCCTTGTGCTCCATGTATCCCAGCACCTTGATCAGGGCCAGGCATATGTATATAGTAAGTGTAAGTGCTTAGAAAATATTTGCTAAATTTATGAGCTACTCTGTAGAGGTAAGAATGAAGCAATCAGAGATACAGGTTGAAAGAATCAGAGAAAAGGGAAATGGTTCAAAATTCCAGTTTAAGAAAAGTCAGCTCTGCCTCCTTTTGCCTTGCCAGGCCGTGAGCCAGTGTCCTGGACACTGCCTTTGAGGGGCTGCCTGTGAGGTTGACGCAGTCCCTGTGCAACTTGTGGTGGATGCCTTGGAGCATCAGCTCTTAGTTCTGTTGACCATTTCTATTTGGATTCCTGTTGTAGTGTCCAGCACCACCTCATGTACTGGTAGTGCCCTCGTAAGTACTGTTATTTGATGGCAATCCTTACATGCCCCATGTTAGCATGTCCCACTGATGGTCCTTTGATGCACAGATAACTGGCACAAAGCTGAGTGTGTCTTTAAACACAATGATTTCATTTATAAGTCCACCACTCAGGTAGCGCTTGTTTGGGAAAACTTATCTGTTCACACAGCCTCTTGGGGATTGTCTTACTAAAGCAGCTTGTAGTGTTCCAAGAGCAAGTGTCCGGAAGGAAATGGAGAGGAAGCTGCCAGAGCAGCAAGCACAGTGTGGTCCCTGATTCACCTGTCAACTGTCATACAGGTCAGAGTCAAGGAAGCCGCCTCTTCATGGGGGCACTATGTAGTGACATGGTATTAATATTATCGAAGAATTGGGGGCCTTGTTTCCTTACGTAGTTACCATTTTCATTATTTTCATTGATATAAAATATATTTTAAAAGTCACAAAACCTGTGAGTCAGGTTATTGTAGAGATTAGAATACTGAATGCACACAAGAAACGTTTATTTTAAAATAACTTGCCTTTGGAAATTGATTTATTTTAGCTTACCATTTTGGGTTACTGAAGTATTATTTAACCCAAGTGTTGAGATACGCATCAGATTGGAAGCCAAATGGAGATTACTTGAATGATCACAAGAAGTTAATGCAACTTCAAATACATTACTGTTATTAACTGAAACCTCTGAAAAAGAAGAAGAAATAGCTTAACTGTTTCTTAGACTTGAGTTTTTTGTCCTAATACATTTCACTTTGATCTTATGGGCAACTTGGAAGGTATTTTGAACTTTCTCGTTTTTTTAACAAAATTGCAGAGTAAACTATCTTTATTTCGTGTGGTGTAAATCATAGTTGAATGAAATGAAAAGGTGTGTGTTCTACTAACTCTGGGTTCTGGTTATTCTCAAGTAGCAATCTTAGAGAAAAAACATTATGAGGAATAAAGAAGGGCTTCCTAATTTCTACTATTCACTGTATCTAAGCTCTCGTATGAACAAAGCAGAAGCTTTGATTGGGAAATAATGAGACTATGCTTTCAACTTTTGTCCTTCGACCCAGCCTCTTGCCTATTTTCTAGTTACTGGTTTTCATCAAAGACAGCCCAGAGCAGCTACAGGAGGTGAAGGTTGATGCCGTTTTAAGTCTGCGTCTGCTCTACCATAGCATGAAAGATCTTCCCCATCCATTTTCATTTCTTTCCTCCTGGATAATCCAATTTTGCAACAAATTGATTGCTCAATCTCCCCATGTCACTTTTCTATAAAATGAAAAAGGTTGTTCCAGTCCCAGGGTGGGGAGATGGTCTCTCTAGACAGAGTGGCACTAAAAGGTCACCTCCCTATACAAGTGACTGATGCCACCTCCAAATGACGCCTTAGGATGCAGACAGAGTGCTCAGGTTCTGGACCTGATGTGTCCTTTGTGCTGGCAAGCCTGCTCTTGGAAACCTTATTTAGAGCGAAAACTGAAATAAAGTTTATGAGTGATTATGAAGAAGTAGTTGTTTTTTCCTAAGATGTAGTTACTAGGGAAAGTCCCTGCTAGAAAGCACCAGTGTCCTTAAACTTTCCCCTAATGGGACACTAACTCTGAAGTTATGAAAGCACAGATAATCAGAGTCATCTGTCTGAGAAACGTAGATCATATCGGAGAAAAGACTGCGCCTGCAGTGAGAATCCTTGCGTAGAGTCCCACCTCACACCGTAATAGCCGTGTGTCTGAGCAAGTGCTAGGTTTGAGCCACCGCCTAAGTCTCAGTGTTTTCATTTGAAAAGAAGGATGATGTCATCTGCCTGACAAATCTGCAGAGTGCTGAGATCAGATGAGATTTCAGATATGCAAATGCTTAATAAATTGCAAAGCATTGTATTAACAGAAATTATTACTGCTCATTTTAGAAACTTTGATGAAAGATACGGATTTTTGTAAGTTATCATTGTTAAAATGTCACTAAGAGCATATTGTACAGTGTGGTTAATAAAACAGGTTCTCTAAGTTCAAGTGTTCTGTTCTAATTATACAAGTACTAATTCATTAAGGGTGGAAGCCAAGTGCTACACTTCTTTGTGTCCCTAACTTCATCTCCACAGTCCTGGGTAGGCCAAACTGGCCAGTTCCTTTTGTTGGTTGAATGATTAGATTATTTGTGGTTTGTTAGTTTCCAATTTAGAGAGGGATAAATTGGCCTCTTTTAACATTTTGAATTTGTAATTAATTATTGAGTTCTCTGATACTATTCTAGAAAAGCTGTCAGAGTGAGTGAAAATACCCTCACACTGTCTCACTGTTAGAAAGCTAGGTAATTCTAAATGTCAGTGGAAATATGGTACAGACCTTGCTATTAGTTATTCCATTTTAGAAATGTTCTTTGCTTATCGCCTTGCTCTTAAGACATAATTCTTCTTGGCTCTCTTTAATGAAAATCCTTTGGCCTAAGACTTGTTAAGAGACGTCCCCACGCAGGGCAGAGCCAAAAGTGCTTGTGCTCATGGCGCTGCTGGGTCACTGCCTTTAATGACAGCATTTGCGACTCTAGCTCCCACAGGAGCCTCCACCTTCCTGCTCCTCGTCTTTGTGCGTATTCTCGCTCCTCCAAATCAAAATGACACTCGTAAAGTAAGAAGGTGGGTTTCTGAGTGGACGGCTAGGGGAATGCGCAGATGCGGATGCCAAGCGCAGCTCACGGTTCTCCACAGGATCTAGACGAAGGGTATGGAGCCTCTCCCTGTTCAATTTTGCTTGAAAATCGTCATACTCATCTCATACAAGGATGGTTATGCACAAAGGCGGGGATAACCTTAAATTTTTCACAATTACATTAATAGAGAAAAATGAAAATAGCTCTTTTAAAGCTACATGAGACTGCCTTCCCAAATGAAATCACCAGCTAAATGCTCCTCGTGTTTAAAATTCACATGAAGTTGTGTTAGATCATTACCAGTGTACAGACTGGGGTGTGCAGTTGTGCCCACATCATGACAGTAGGAAAGGATTCAGGAGTTCTGGTGTATATGGTCAGAGGAATACTTACACTATAGAAATAGTGTTCATGTGCTGAGTCGGGAAGGCTCCACATGTTATCTACAAAGCCGTGAGTGGACTTGTGGGTGTGGCTGAGAATGCATATACACAAAAATACTACCTCTGAATTATGAAAGAATGAAGCATTTTTTTTTTTCCTAAGAGGTCTTTCTTAATCTACATCTTTTGTTTTTTTCCTAAAATAAAATTTTCCATATGCTTTTATTCACATTGGGAACATAAGAAGGAAAACAGAAAAGAGAAGAAGAGAAAAAAAGTCATGCTATTTTTTTTATGAAAATGAAGCAGGGAAACCTTGGTATCTGTACCTTTTTGATCAAGCCCTAGAAATTATCTGGATTTTTCCTTTCATCTTTATCGCCAAAATCTATTCTTATTTTTTCTTCATCTTGCTGCTATAAAAAAGTACACTCAAAATATGTAAAAACAAATAACTTCATTCATTTTTCTGGAGATTTTTTTTTTTTGGACTTGGCTAGTGGCTTTTGAAAGGGAAGTTGAGATGTTTTCATGCGTCTAGGCCCAAGGCATTTGGTACTTGGAAATGCCCTATCTTTAATCTCTAATTGCATTAAATTTCTGAGTCTGACTCATGAAGAGAGGAAACTTCAAAGGAGAAATGGGAAAATCCAATTTCTCTCTAAATACAATAACCACTGATATATTTCAGACGTGTGACACCTATGTTCCAAGTGTTCTAACCAGAGGAATTTGGACTTCAAGGATGTGCCAGAGATAAGAAAAATGTTTTCACTTGTCAAAGATCTTTTCTCTCCAAGGAGATATAAGCAGTGCATTGAAATTAGGTAGTTTTCACAACATTTCTCAGAGAGGGGTAGAGAAAAGAGACTTGCTGTTAAATTTTATTCATGCAGTAAACATTTGTTGAATACTGACCTTGTCTATCATTCTGAGCCTAATGTTTCACTTACTTTCTTGGGAAGACATTTTTATAAGTTTTTGCTCAATGGTTATTGAAAGGAAAGTTCGATGGGAGTGAAAGTGGGAGTGAGCGATCTCTGGGTTCAGTTCTCTAGTCTCTCATCAGAGTATATGGGAAGTGTGATTCCCTTATGTAGTCATCCCTCCCCCTCGTATGTGGACACCATGTTGTACCTGTACCTTCTTGGTCCCTCATAACACAGAATGTTTCATTTCTTGTCTCTTGTCTTTCTCAGGTAAAATGTCCAGTGATCGAGCTTTGAGGAAGCAGCAACAATTAAACAACCTGGTTTATGTGGTGACAAATCAGGCCAAACCTGGTGACCGAATTGTGGATTTCTGCAGTGGTGGGGTAATTATATCCCTCCTTTTATTCTTTCTAGCCTTACCAGCACTGTGTGACTTTACCTTACATTTATGGCAGTGCTTTTATTTGGCAAGATTGCTGTCCTGGAATGAACAGCGGCTCACTTGTTGCTCTCCCTGCCTATTTCAGGGCCACGTTGGGATCGTCCTCGCGCACATGCTGCCCTCATGCCAGGTAAGGTTGGCTCAGCAGCCCCGAGAATTATGGACCATAATTTATGTATTTATAGTTTGTACAAAGTTAGGGCTGTTGGGCCTCCCCGGTGGCGCAGCGGTTGAGCGCTGGGTTGCGAAGCTGCGCGCGGCCTCCGCAGCGCCGGTTCGATCCCCGGCTGCTCCCCGGCCACCGAAGGAGGGTCCCACATGGCGCGCAGACCTCTCCTGCCGCCCGCTGCTCCCCTCAGCAGTGTCCTTCGGTCCTTCTGCCTGCTCTGCTTCCCGCTCTGGCTCTGGTGAATTCTCTCACCCTCCCGCGCTTCTGACTGTACCCAGTGCATGTATAAACAAAACAAACAAACAAACAAATAAATAAAGCACGTCTCTATAAAAAAAAAAAAAAAAAAAAAGTTAGGGCTGTTTTTGGTCTTCTGCCATATTAAATGAGCCTGTGCTTTTAAATATAAATTGAACTATGATAGATTCTTTGCTTGCAAGCTCTGGAAGGTGCCAAATTATAAGGAATCCTGGGAGGGACATGGGTGTCTGTGTCACGATTAAGGAAAACAAGAGTTTCATGGTGAAGTGAGGAGAGGAAAGCTCAGAGAGGAGGCCTTAGAGAAGCAGTCAGGATACATGTCTTTGTTCCCTTCCTGGAAATGCAGATGCAGAGACTTTGAAACAGGTCGTTGGAAGTCCTGACTAGAAGAACAAGCTGCAAAGCTTTGACACCACTGTGCTGTGACAGGTTTTTTGTGCAAAGGGATCCATGATTTCTCCATAAAGACAAGTATAAGGACAAAATAAGGACAGAACTAGGAAGGATAATAATAAAAGTGACTTCTGCCCTTTTTCTCCATCTCCACCAATGATGGCTCCCATCATCCCTTGGGAGAGAGATAATACCTTGGCCTGGATTACAGTTAGTCTCCTAGTTGGCTGTCTTGCCTCTTTCTTGCCCACCCCAGTCCCTACTATAAATTGCAGCAACTGATCCTGTTATTATCACACATGATCTGGTCCCTGTTGAGGTCCTCTCTGGCCTCATTTCCACCCTCCACACCCTGTCCTCCACCCCACCAGCACCATCACACACATTGTGTCCCATATCTACCAATTTTCTGTTCTCCAGACACACCAAACTCTTTCTCACCTTGGGTTTTCAAACATGTTTCTCTGCCTGAAATGCTTCCTTGTTTCCCCAACTAATTTCTATTCATTTTTAGGCATTCCTTAATATGTTGCTTTTCCATAAACACTTTCCTGAGTTAGCCAGTCTGAATTCTCCGTAACACATTATGTGTCTTTCATTAAATACTTACATCATGATATTATAATTGCCCATTTCATTGACATCACTTAACAGTCATATATCACTTGGCAACGGGGCTCCTGCTGAGAAAGGCAACATTAGGTGATTGCTCAACTGTCAACAGCCTGTAGTTACAGAGACCTGGCATTGTCCACTGACATGCCTAGGCCTTGTGGCATAGCCTGTTGAGAACACCATCATTTAGGCAGCTTCTTCATGAACTGAGCCATCTTGACACATGACTGTGTTGTAAGTTTCAGGAATTCAGGACCTTATTCATTTTTGTACCACATTGTCTAGTAGTCTTCCGGGGACAGGATAAGTATCTATGTAATATGTTCTGTATTATTAAAACTATGACATATAATAATAGCTTGCCCTAATGTCTGAGTTATGTTACTGAATTTGCTGTTGTTTCCTGGATAAATTCTAGGTTACGTTAATAGAAAACAAGGAATTATCATTAATTCGTGCTAAGAAGAGAAGTGATGAACTAGGTTTAAGCAACATTTGGTTCATTCAAGCAAATATGGAGTATTTCACAGGGATGTTTAATATTGGGGTAAGTAATCAAGCAATTAAATTTCTTTAATTAGCTAAGTAAGAATAAATATATGTGTAGAATAAATAGAGGAGAAAATTTATGTCTTTTTAAAGGAAGAAATGTGTAATATTTGTTCTGTGTTCCCTATAAAGTCTGGCATATCTGTATGTGATAAGGGATATCATGTAGATAATGAGTGTCTTATACATTGTACATCATAGCATGAAAGAGAGTATGTCTCTTCCTCTACCAGGTGAGAATTTTTCTTCTTCACTGCCTATGTAACATGTAGCAAGTGCTTAAAAATAGTTACTAATTTAAAGAATGAATTCTAATTAAGATGACTTCCCTTGGTTTAGTCTGCATTTTTAAGAGATAGTAGAAGGGGAAAAAAAGCCAATAGAAAAAATGGCATATTAACAACCTGTAAACACTCGAATTGCCTTTAGAAAATATTTTACTTAGGATTTTTATTTACTGGTATTCTTAGCCTCCAAGAGACAGAAAGTATATTGGCTATATGTCTAAAACCTTCAGATCAAGATGTTACTGTTTGATATTACTAAAAAGAATTAAGATCATTGATTCTGCCAGTTCATTTAAAACCAAGATTTTGTGCCTTCATACTCTGTAGATTCTACTTTATTTGAACACTGTCATAAATCTTTCCCCTACTCATTAATCATGTTTGGTGGGTTGTTTGTTTTTTTTTTTGTTGGTATAATGCAATCATTGCTATGATGGATATCTTATGCATCATATAAGCCTTTTGATGCAGTTGCCAAATCACGTTCCTGGGAGGCTGTGCCAGTGGGCGCTCCCAGTTGTGTGTGTTCGCATTAGCTTAGGCTTGTCTGGGGGGGTCGCCTGTCCCGTTTCAGAAGCTCAGACCTTTTGTAGTACTGCGGATTTCTGTCCAGTGAACTTCATTTCTTCAGTCTAGACTACTGCAAATTTGTGGAGTTTGTGGTTTTTTTTCAGCTAAAAAACTTGCAATTTGTTTCTTGGTGCAATTTGTTTCCTGGATTAGTTATCCCAAGTCAAGTCTACACAAAGAGAAGTTAAACTATTAAGAAAACTATTGATAAGGAAATTCAAGAAAATGTAGACATTTCATACAGAAATTGAAAATTTCCAGTATATTTGCAACTTAATTTTTACATAAATCTCAAAATAACGGTAAAAGCTTGTCCCATGCATATGTCACATTACCAGTCCACCAGGCAGAATGTGACAGGTAGCCAGACAGACCTGTTTATTCATTGCTGAAGTCACAGAACCCGCAGACTACCAGCCACGCATCTACTCTTCTGTTGATTACAGGTGCTGAATCATACTTTTCTAACACCAACTAAAAAATGCATGTCTTTTTGGAAAGTGACATTTTCTCTACATATCACAATTATATATCCATAATGTTTTTTTCTTTTATAATTACCTTTGTCAAGATATATAGAAAATGAATTAAAATTACTGGGAGGATTAGACCAAAATTAGATTCACTCTCAAGAAAAATAATTTGCCTGGGAGCACTGTCACAAGATAACTCAAACTAAATGCATCAGTGGCTCTAACTCTTGTATGAAAATAGGTTCCATTTCAAATAAGGGTTCAGTTGTCATTTATCTTTGCCTAGTAAATGTGTTTTTAAAATTATATTTCTTTAAATTTAAAAAATTAGTGAATTAAGAAATTTAGGGAGAGAATTTTTAAGTCTTAGCAGCTTAGTTTCCTTGTCTGTTTTTTGTTTGTTTGTTAAATTGAGGTAGAAATAGTTTACAGCACTGTATATGATTCAGCTGCATAAGATCACATCCCCTCAGATGCATATCACCACGCCATACCCACCACCAAGGTACCCACAGTCCTCTACCACAGTCAATCTTGCCTTCTCCCCACTTTATCTTCACCCTCCCCACCCAACCCCCCCTCAGTAGCCTTAATTCTACAGGTATTTAGGGTTTTTTTAATTGACTCAGTTTTGCCTGATCCTTTATTTTGAAGAGAATGTTTTTAGGAACTTTAAACAAATCATTTATAGAAGAATTGAAATAGTAATTATTAGTCTTATGTCCACTAGTATAGCATTAGCAGGTAAAATGAATAAATATACTTTGTTAAGCTAGTTAATTGAAATAATCAAAGGAAACACATCTAAATATTTTTAACGTCTCTCACCAAGGTCTTCCAGCTGCTAACCTACTGTACCTCCCCATATGACCAGAATCAATAGGTAGTGCTGTGTTTGTTCCGGAGTCATTTTGTAGTTGCTGATTTGCTTTGTGTTTAGTTGAGAAATACATTTCTTTAGAAATACAAATATCTAATAAGCATATGTAAACTTTCAAAATCTCTAGTAACTTAATACATTATTACTTGAACAGCAATGATGATCCATTCTAGCTCCTAAAGTCTGCAGGAGTAATCATATATGAAAAAATTTCATTTATATATTATTGCACTGATTTGTTAATGATGTGAAAAATTGTAAATAAAAGTACATAAACATAAGATTTTAACATTGGGCATCCTGGTCTCAGCTTGTCCGCTTATAAAGCTATATATGCTTGGGCAGTGTATTGAAATCCTGTTTTTCCATCTGTGAACTGGTCATAAAAAGCTGGCTCATAAGCTATTGACACAATTTGTATGAAGCATTTAACCAGTTGCCTGGCTCATAGAAAGTGCCCAGTAAATTGGATCTCTCCCAGTGTGATCTCAACCATGTTTAAAAAAAAAAAAAAAGCATTTAAAAAAGGATGGGAGAAAATTTTGTGACTCTGTTGTTTTAAAGGTGATTAGCTCCATATATTGTGATTTTTTTAAATCATTTTAGTTTCATAATATCCCAAATTTAACATATTTATAGTCATAATATAAATAAGTAAAATATAGAAGAAATGTTTAATTTATAGATAGCTATTTAATAATATTTTATATTTTAACATAAAATAATATAGATAGCTTATTTAACCAAGAAAGTTTAATAATGCCCAAAGGATTACTACAAGATATCTGAAAGAATACTGAACATAAAAGATACATTTATAGAGATGATTTTTCTCAAAACAAATATTTAATTAATAAAGCAATGTCTATTGATTGATTTATTCTGATTTTAATAATAATGGCTGGTAATGCCTGAGAAAAATAAAAATCTTGTCAAAACAAAGAAGCATCCAAGAAACCTTTTCCCTTTCAGTTTTATGACCCCAAATTGAGTATGTGTTATAGATTGAATATTTGTGTCTCCTCTACCTACAAGAAAATCCTAACCTCTAATATGATATTATGAGGTGGGGCCTTTGAGAAGTAATAGGGTCATGAGGATGCCCAGTAGTGGGACCCTGGTGAGTGGAATTAGTGTTCTAAGAGAAAAGAGAGCTTACTTCCTCTCTGCTCACTGCTAAGTAAGGCTACAGTGAAAACTGCCACCTGCAGACCAGGAAGGGGCCCTCACCACTTGCCAGATTTGTCCTCATCTTGATCTTGGGCTTCCCAACCTCCAGAACTGTGAGAAATAAATACTGTTTAAGCTGCATGGTCTATGGTATTATTTTGGCAGTAGTCCATCCAAAGACAGTATATATTGATTACCATGCCATTAAAGGGAAATGTACAGGAGGGCGGAGCAACATGGCGGTGAGGAGACGCTGCGAGTAAGATCTCCCATTAAAAAAAGTTAATAGGGAGGAAAAGTGGCAGGTCCCAGTGAGAAGTGGGACACGGAAGATAAACGGGGGACGCCAGCAAACTGCCCGAAGAAGAAAGTTGCCATAAAAGAGGACTAGAAGGGAGGAAAGTGCAGAACCCTGCTCCCCTCCCCCACCCACAGAGGCGGCACTCTCCGACCGGCAGAGAGGAGGAAAACAACAAACTAAAACGACCAACAAGAACAAACTACGCAGCAAGTGGGACTGTGAGTGGAAAGGAACTATTGCAGCCACCACACCCCGTGAACGGGAGCTGTGGAGAACCCTGCAGGATTCACCGCCATGGTGAGCGAACGGCTCCGGGCGCCATTAGAGAAGAACAAAGAGACTCTGGAGGAGACCTGCACTCAGCCCCGGGCCAGCCGGTAAGCTTGTGCGGAAAAGCGGCGCGCTTGGCGCGCTTGAAAAGCAAACGCAGACCTTGATCGCAGCTGCCCAGGTCCCCGCGCCTGCGACCTAGGCTTGCGGGGAGACGCACAGAGGCCCTCACTCACGGGGGTGAAAGTCCCTCACTGAGTAAGCAGGAACCAGGCGCCCAGGCACGGGAGCTGGGTGCAAAAGGCGCCATTCCTGCGCCACTGAACTGGGCTACAGCCCGCGTCCTGGACCTGAGGGCTTTGAACTGAGACCCGGGGCATGAAATTCTTGGCGTGGGTTCTCCACGACGGTGGGGCACAAGGCAGACACAGCACCCCAAAGCTGTTGAGGTTTACCCTACCATTCTCGCTCTCTGTTCCCTGCCCCACGGGGGTGGGGGGGTTGAAAAACAGCCCCCCAAGGACAGTAGGAGAGATCTCTGGCGCCACCTAGCGAACAGAAAAAAAGTCACTAACACCCCATAGAACAGGGAAATTTCTTAAGACTTCTTGAAAAGGGCAGAAGGCTTCTGGAGGACCCAGTGGCCAGCTGGGAAGTTAGCTCACGCCAGGCCCCTTCCAACCAGCAGTCTGAGCCCACAGAGGGAGCAGGCACCCACGTCCGGGGCAGACCGGGCACGCAGAAGAGTGTGCCTGAGACCGGATGCGCAGGGGCTGCGTCCCGCTTCGCCAGTTTAGAACAGGGACATTTCTTCAGTAAAGACTGCCTAAAACCAGCAGAAAGCTCCCCCAGAAGCCAGAGATGGTTCCTGGAGGAGCCAGAGGGGAGCGGAGAAGTTCACCCAAGATGACGGCCAGTCCGAGCAACACAGTGTCCCAATGCATACGACAAATTAGAAAACAGACAGTAGGGAGTAGAAGAACCACACGCAACCTAACAACGCCTCAGGAAAGAAGCACACCACAAAAAGAAAACCACCCTCCAGAT